CAAATTATAATCTAAGCCCCTCATGACCTTCACCTTTCCAGTCTCAAATCTATTTCACTAAAATCGTGATTTTTCTGATTACTACTAATACTTCTACTACCTCTACCATTATGGGATTTGAATCAACAATTGTATCTCAGTGCTATCGTAGTATGGCAAATTGAATTGATGTACATAAGTACGTAGGTACAAAGTTCTACATTGTAACTGGCTAACTGACTGACTGAACGATAGATCAAACTCGATCAATATCATTCAAATGAGAATTAGGCAGAAATAAACTTTAAGCTCAATATATGAATGCTGGTTTATAGTTCTTAGAAGATTTTAGTCAATAGATTTTCGTGAATCAGTTAACTAATCTGAAAAAATTTAAAAACACAGTTGCATAACAATCATGATTGTTTGAATATAACTATAGTCAGTTTCAGCTTTTTTATACATTTAGAATTCTAAAGATTTCCAAAATGAATTCACATCATATCGATCTAGAGATACAAAGGAATTTCAAAGTTGGCAACTCATGATCACTAGACTCAAAGAGACAAATTGTTTGAGAAAAGTTCATGAATTAGTTTGTAAAATATCACAGAAAGCTAAAACCATTCAGAATATTCTCATCGGTGTTAAGTACTACACTTGATCAGTCTGTTAGGCATCTGGGCATTTTGAGTGCATTGCTTAAATTAGGTCCCTTTAGGTTAGAAACATTAGTAACATAGGAATCCAGGATGAGCATTTCGTTCTGCTTGAGATCTGTCAGCTGGATGTACCTCCATCAACAGCTAAGTGGATAGTACGCTGATGTTTGAAGCATAGGTTACTGGCTTCAAGTCCCGAAATGGACATCAGCTTTAAGATGTAAGTCCATCGTTCGTCATGGATTCCATAGTTAGCCATTATCCACCTCTTCTAAGAGTGTAACTTTGTTTTTTGTAAACCACACTTCATTTGGATCTTTCAGCAAGTCAAGAAAATTGAAATTGTAATCTACATAAACCTCATTCTCATTCATCATCAACAGTTGATTTTTTTCAAATTCTAAAATAAACATATTTATCTTTCCTATTTTAAACTTGAAATATAATCAAAAATGCAATTAAAATGTTTTCAGTAACAATCATAAAAATACTTTCGTTACCTGCTGCTCCATTATCAACACTCATGGTCGAAAAAAAATGCTGTCAGCGTTCCAAATCGCCTCGTTTTTATCGATTCCGATGTGATGTATAACACGACTGTATTTCTACGTAACTTGGAAATATTAATTTTTAAAGAATTTCTAAATTTCATTTAAAATTAAAACAAGAACTTTTGCCATTGAACATTTTCATTTCCCGCCCTGTAATTTGAAATTATTTGAAGCTAATATTTATCTGTATATAAATATATATATATATGTGTAACTGATTGCACGAGTTAACAAAATCAACTAACTGATAGTAAGAATAAAATTATCTTATAGGCGGAAAAAAATTTCCATAGATTTCCATGGTTTCAGTTATCTGGATGTTTAAAAGCTTTTTTCGATATCGTTCAATACAATAAAGGTGTGTTTGTGTGTGTGTCGAATATTGATACGATTTGATCGAATTTCGCAAGTGTATTTCATTTATCTAAATTTCACTACGATTGAATAAAAATATTTTTCGGGGCAAACATTAATAAATGGATTAGTGACATAGAAATTACGCATATGAAATATGCACAATAATAATTATACTACTTAAATATTATGAAAGTAAAATAATTCAATTTGGAAATCATTTATAACTATTGTTGAAAGTTTTTTTCAATTACAGTTATAGAGATCATTGTTTTTACACATTGAAGAAGCCTGGAAGTACTGGATAGCTGTTTCGTCCTGGTATGGGACTCATCCATAGTGGGCATCCACGAATACTGTCACTCACAGTGTGGTGTGAGCTACTTATAAGTAGTATATGGCGTGAGTGTAAACGTAATGTCTGGCAGCAGAACATGGGGGAAGATCAAGAAAGGAAGACTTAGAACACATTGGAATTTGTATGAAACGCATGAATAGCGACAATGGATTGATGTTTTGCAGCAGGAACAGTCCAGTTCGATAGGATGGACTGATAATTTGCAAATGAATGATTTACGATATGGTTTTCCGATTTTACTGAGTAACTGTGTCATTTTCACGATCGATGTAGTGACGATGATAGGCCATTCTAATCCGTCTGTCTCCAGCCCAGCTGACTATGTCAAGAAGTCTTGAAAAGGCGTAGAAAGTGTATTCTACAAGTTCCCGGAAAATAAGTGGTCAACAAGTACACAAGTCAAGTTTATTTAGACATGATAGAAACGTCCTTGGGAGAGCCACAACAATAGCGTACTAAAATAATATATCAACCAATGACAGCCAGGGAATTTCCGAGTAGGAAATGTCAGCTGAAGGCCAACTGAGCGATCGATGCACGAAAGCACTAAAAATCCAAAATTAGGACCTTTTCTAAGTAAGTTCTTGACATCTAACGTCCCCAGTAGATAGACAAATCATCTACCTTTTGATTGTATGGTTTGCAGTGTGTGTACTTTCATGTCATGCCCGTAGATTGCGTTGTCTCCGTTTCTGGATAATTTACTCAATCTATTCTACACAAGTTATTATTCATTCGTCTTTTGACCTTGTCAATCATTCGCTCATATCTAGGTTGTTTCTGTCCGAGTATGTGCGTGCACGTATTATTAGTCCGCCTCTCAGATGCTCAGCTTACATAAATGTCTAACTATAAACACTTAGTCATTCGTCATCGCATTGAGTTGGCTCATATGCCTTCTTCATTTCACTACGCTTTGCATGAAATAAATTCATCCACGAAACTGTATTTGGCTGAATACTACCACCATCTCCCAAACGGGTTCACCTAATTGAATGGGAAGATTTATTTCATCGCATACTCGAAAGTCCGCCAAAAAAAGGAGTCAGATTGAGGGCCACTAAAATGGTGGGTCCTAATTCAAATCTAACACAGCCACTAAAACTTTCATACATGTCTTTGTTAATTCTATGAATATGAACAGCTGAAGAGTCCAATATTAAGATTAAACGGCCTGTTGACATACACCAAACGTCATCATCAATTGAAGTCAGCAAGTGACAACAAAATTCATATCAAAATAAATCACAATCATTGGGTTAAAAATTTTCGAGTACATAATAAATTTATTTCCCTTTCAATAAATTATCTAGGGAAGTTTTTAAGTAGCTTGAATTATTGAAGTCTTTTAGTAAGCTGCGTTTAATTCGAAGTAGGGCTCATCACTTTAGTGACACCCACGATCTGACTCCTATCAGTACAGATACTTAAATATGCTGTGAAATAAATCCTCACTTCAATTTTGCATATTATACTTAGTCGGGTCCCGTTTTTGGGACGGTGGTAATAAGATGAGTTTATTTCATACAATCGTTTACATAGACAGACATGAGAATGAAAAACGTACAAGCGTACAAGAAGGTGAATTGACCAACTCAATGTGATGTGGAATGTGACAAAGTATTTATAGTCAAACAAAATAGACTTGACATGTTTTTCATAAGTGTAGTAAGCATACACATTCACACTCTAATAAAAACAACTTTGTATTTATTTATAAAGGTAGCATTCTGTACTGCTAGTTATTTGATCTTTGTCAATCCCTCGCCTCTCTCTCTCTCCCTCTCTTCATCGACATGTTTACGAAAACTTTGAAAATTTCAACAGTCATAAATATTGTAAGATCCATTTTTGAAGGCTTTGTTTGTGAAGATCCCTCCATGTATATATTTGTAATATGGCCTCACTGAATCCTTCAGTTGTACATGTTGTTTAATCTGTTCGATTCCATTTTGAGATGATAATATTTGTATTTTATTATAGTTTCTATTTCTTTTCTCTTCATTGAGTTTCCATGTTTCCTACTGAATAGCATTTATGTTGTTTAAGCTGATACTTAGTTATGATGACAGCCATATTGATTTGTTCCTCTTTTGGTTGTGTTGCATGCATGGAGTGGATTTGTGCATTTTGATTGTGAATCGAAGCATTCCTCCAAAATAGGAAACAATCTGTGTTATAAAGCAAACAAATATTATCTGTCGAACGAATCTGATCTGTCTGGGAGGGATGGAATATCATTTGTTTGAATAATTGAACAATTTTTGGTGGAATAGCTCTGATATTATCGTTTAGGTAATGATGTATATTCATATTTATGATGAATATTAGAACCATTATTTACCTAAATCACTTGTTTTAGATTTCAACTGGGCAAGATGCGTTTCTAAACTATCTGGACAGTTATCCCTCAGTTTGGATCATACAAATATTACTTATTGAAATCATGAATCAATCAATGTTAGACCATCATTTGAAACCTAGAAGCATTGGAAAGTCGTTTCGTCCTGATATGGGGCTCATCAACAGTGCGCAACCACAGCTCCTAACACTGATCGATTCATAATTTCAGTAAGTAACTCAACAATCTCCACAACCCCATAATGCGAAAATAATATTCACGAATCCTTAGACCTATCATCTTAAACCATTACTTATCTTTGGTATAGACCAAATATTTGTCAGTGAACCCTTTACTCACATCATTACAACATGTAAACTGATAATTATCAATTACACAGTGAAATAAAGTTGCGACACATAACCAAAAAGATTCTATTTCCAGTAAGTTGGCGGATTGCTAGTGCCTTCTGTTAGGAAGTCTCGAAATGATATGAAACAACTGTCGTATAACCTTCCAGTTTCAGTGATTATTAACATCATGAAACGAGTTTCATAGAACAAACACAAATATCCACCAACCACTTCACTGATAAAAACTATTTTATGGCTTGTTTCATTATTTCACTGAGAGCATTTTTATATTTCAACCAATCATAGTTTAAATACTCACAACATCATATTGATTGACCTAAAACAAGGCATAAAAGGGTCACAACGAATTTAATTAAACAAATTTGATTCTGTGTTTTTTTTCTGAATGTGAGATAATATTTGATAATATTCAACGAAACGAACATTTAATCTATTATGTATGAGAATACGTATCATTTTGGATTTGCATTCCTGTTTATTGGTAAGTATAAATATTTTAAGTAAAATTGTTTATCTTATCTTCATCGCTGTATTGATGTAATAATATTCGGTAACTCACCGTTGGATTTTCACTGGAAATAAATGAGATTCAAAAGTTGATTTGTATTAGGACAGTATAAATACTTGTACAAACTATGTTGAATATTACTGAATATTATACAATTAGGTTTCTTTTAGGAATTAAATCCCTTAAACATTGATCGTATGGAAACATGGTCGTTGTTATTTTTTGTTAAATGTGACAGGCTTGCTATGATGATAATGGTGTGTGTTCTTTTCATATTAAAGTTTCGAGTAAATCCAACAACATTGATCCAGTCCAAATCAGGCAGTAATTTCTATGACCTCATGGTGTTGTGCACGATAACTCAGGTGAGGCCATCAACATATGTATTTAAGCGAGTATTACAGAGTTGTTAAGCATATGTACAAAACCTTCCCGTGAATCATCATCTGCAAACTAATCATTATTTGTTGCAGATTTCAGTGTTCTTTCATTTAAACTGTTCAGACTTTAGTTCGCTTTACGTTATCTACAAACTGCCTTCTGTTCTCATTCTTTCCTTCTCGATCTTTTCCTGTCAGACGTTTGATTTCCGTTTGATATCATATACTACTTATATGAACATCAGTAGCGTACACCACAATGGTAGAGACAATCAGCAATTCCTGAAAAAAATCACCAAAAAATAGACTATGCAAATGAATCGAGCCTACTATAACCAAAAAAATCTCAACTACATTTTTACATATTCGTCAGTTCAAATTCACCTACGGTACAAATTACATTAGGCTTATGGTTAAACAAATTCCTCATCGTATTTCTGATGTTTCTTACTAACTTAACTTACGCCTATCATCCCCAGTGGAGCATCGGCCGCCGATCAGTGCTCTTCAAACAACTGTGTTCTGGACTACTCCTTTCCAGTTCTATTCAATGTTTGTTCATTTCTCTCCTGTCTTTCTCTATTTCTCGGCGTAATGTGTTTTTCGACCTTCCTCTTTTCCTTTTACCTTGAGGGTTCTAACAGATAGCTTGTTTTGTGAGACAGTTCGGCGCTTTTCGCAGTGTGTGTCCTATCCACTTCCACTGCTTCTTCCTGATTTCCTCCTCCGTTTGGATCTGGTTTGTTCTCTCCCACAGTACGTTGTGGCTGAAAGATTCTGGCCAACGAATCCGAAGTATTTTGCGAAGGCAACTGTTCATAAATACTTGTATCTTCTGTATGATGATGGCTTTCGTAGTTCTCCAATTTTCCACTCCATGCAGTAGAACTGTCTTGAAATTTGTATTGAAAATCCTGCTTTTGGTGTCCGATGACGGTTGTTTGGAGTTCCAGATATTTTTCAATTGAACAAAAGAGGGAGAGAAGTTCTCTCTTTGCATAGATAGTCAACACTGAACATTGCAATGATGTAAATTAGGCCTTACTAGCTCTTGAAAGATGTAGCATAATGCTCAAGGCTGGTGAAAAATTGTCGCAACTCATAATCAGCAGCTAGTTTTGTTTTTCAAAAAATCTTTTTCAGGTTTGATAGGCTTATGGTTACACATCAAGAATATTTCACGTTTAATAAAGATCAATGCAATTTTACCAAAAAGTTTGACAAAATTTCATTATCATTTGACTGCTGCTTGTTTGGGTTGTATTGCAATGACACCGTTTAGTGCCATTGGTGCTTTTCAAAAGAGGTAAGAATCAACATGTAGTCTCTTCTGATATTAGTAGTATTCAGCAAATATGATTCATTTTTCATACACGTCATCCTGATTCTAGTCAGTCAGTCAGTCAGTCACTTACAACGAAGAACTTCGTACGTACGTACGCAAGCACATCAGTTCAAGTTACCGGTAGCACAGAGATGTGATTGTCAATTTAAATCCCATAGTAGTACATGTAGTAGAAGTACTAGCGGTAATTGGTGAGAGTAGGGTTTGAAGATATTATTCAAGAAGTGTGTTCTAGTCAAATAAATTTTAGAAAGAGAAAGATAAAGGTGAAGAGGAATTCAAATCAGAATGTTTAGAGAAGACAGAGAATGAATGCACCTACGCTATTGCAAGCGATTTTCAACTACGTTATTCAAAGTCTCTAACCATCGATTGATATTGTCTCGTAGATCCTAGTCAGCTAGTCTACACCTACCAACATGCCTCAATCCATTTGTCAGTGACTCCATGGATTTGTGCCACGTTTTTGGTATGGCCTCCCCTAATTTAATTCTGTTTGTTTACTGATTATAAAAAAAGTGGCTTACAGTAAATCACAAAAAGTAAAAAAAATCTAAGTTCTATTCATGAGTACATTTTAATCGCCCGCGACTTGACTTTAATTTGAATGAAGGAATAGATATGTTACAAACTAAATCTTCCCTTCATTTTCCGTTAACACAGACAAACTTAAGAATATACAGCGTACAAGTGCAGCGAAGTGAAGTGGAGAATGCCAGTGGGCCGACTTAATGTAATGAGGTCTAACATTGATCGATTCATGGTTTCAAAAATGTGTAACTTAACAATCTTCACAATAACCCCGTAATGCAAATTACCTAGGCTCACTAGTGACTAGCTTCGTGAGGAATCTTCTCCGAGTTCTAGTGGGAAGACGTGACCAGTGAGGTTCAACCTGTTAAGGAGTAGACAGTAACTAGCGAAGACTGTGTATGAGGTTGCGCAACTCCGTGAATTGATCAAATTGGACATTAACACCGTTAAATATCGGCTCAGTGGTCCGATGGTTAGGCGTTCGCTCACAATACCGAAGGTCCTAGGTTTCAAAAATGTGTAACTTAACAATCTTCACGACACCCCTTAATGAGGAACGATGAAGTTTTTTAAGTCAGAAAAAATTGAAAAGGTCGATAGACAAGTTGTAATAATAACTTGGGAAGAAAAGGTTAATTAGTTTTTCAGAAAGCTGGCACAAGCCATATGAGCTCGACATATTAGTACATATTACTACATAAAACAAATATATCAATAGTTTTATAATTCAAATTCTACTCAATACTCTATTTATTTTTCAAATCATAAATCGATCATTGTTAGACCATCATAAGAAACCTGAAAGCACTGAATGGCTGATCAGCGGTGTATATCCACTACTCCTGCTACTAGCAGGATTCAAACACGTACCTTCGGTTTTGCGAGCGATCGCCCAACCTCTGGACCACTAAAATTAAGCAGCCTTGTTACCTTGATCATGAAACTTTTTATCAAGTAGTTGTTTTGAGTACAAATATAGAAATAAATTCAAATGTTGAAAATACAATCATCAGTGGGAATCGATCATTGGGGTTTAATTAATTGTATTTAACTACTGTCTAATGCCTATGGAAACTTAGATATTCAAAGGAATTTTTGATAATCCTTCATCGGAATTCACATTTTAAGCTTTCCTTCAATGTTTTTCTCCGATGAGTTATTGATCTGTTTGAAGTGGTAATTTAGTTAAAAAGTGAACTTACTAACATTTTTAAGAAATATTTGTCAAAACTGAATGAAACATTTAGGATAAACTCCGAAGGGTATCGAGCACTCCGATGAAACCGGAAAAGAACTGTAAATTAAACTTTAATGCGCGACGATTCTAAAACATACTTTTAAATGGATTATGAGAGAAGACAAATAAAAGAAACACATTATGAAACCATGAATCGATCAATGTCAGTCAGAAATTCAAAAGTACTTACGCACATTAGTTCAGGTTGCCACACCACAACAGCATAGAGATGTAATCGTCAATCCAAATCCCATAGCGGTATAAGTAGTAGAAGTATGAACAGTAATCGGAAAGATTAGGGCTCGAAGATGTTATTCAAAAAGTACAATTCACCGAGATAAATTTAAAAAGAGAAAGATAAAGGTGATGAGGAATTGAGACTTTAATTTGAGAGAACACAAAGAAAAGATGCACCTGTGCCTCCGCAAACCATCGATTAGCATGATCTCGCCAATCCCAATTAGGTAGTCTACACCTATCAACATGGCTCAGTCCACTTGTTAGTGAATTCATGTATTTGTGCTATATTTTAGTCTTGCTGCCTTTAGATTTCTTCCTACTTGCTCCTACACCATAATACGTCTCCGGTTGGGGAGATTTTAGTGATACACTTAAACCATGAATGTAATCACCTGTCTTATAAAATGGTATCCCAAGGTATATGAATTGATTAAAAATGAACTATTCTATTCATGTTCAAGTTTACAGATGTTATGGTAAATGTATGAATGTGTTGGGCCCAGACTGTTTATCCCAGCTTTTCAACAAACTAATTAACCTTTTTTGCCCGATTTACTATTTACTCGTCTTTTAACGTTGTTCGTTATTCGCTCATATGTTGGTGGCTCTTACTTTATCGAGTATGTGTATTGCTCACTTCACTTATCACATGTCTAGTCTATTTCATCTGACTATAAATACATAGTCATTCCGTATCGGATTGAATTAACCCACTCGCCTTCTCCACCTCACTTCACTTGTACGCTTGTATGCTTTTTATTCTCATATCTGTTTGTGTGATTGATTGCATGAAATGAATTCATTCACCAAACCATATTTTGAGTGGGAATCGAAGTGAAGATTTATATCATAGCCTGTATAAGCATCCGTAAAAATAGGAGTCCAATCGCAAGCCACTGAACTGGTGAAGCCTACCTACTTTGAACTCAACTTAGTCAGTAAAAGATCTAAATAACCTAAGCATTATCTAGCTTTGTATCGACAGAGCACCAAAACTGTTGGAGTAGTCAGTCATAAAACGCTGTTGATATATGTGTGTGTACATATTTCAAATCCTTACACCTTTATTAAAAAATATCAAACTCATTTCATAAATTAGCTAAAGACAATCATTCATTAGGACATAGGAAATTTGAGATAAAATGCTTTCCATTTGATTGTTAAGTAAGTAGGTGAAAGATTGGATGTGTATACACTTAAATCTACAAAATACTCTAATGTTCAGAATTTATACACAAAATTTATCAAATTTATCGAGATGAAAGCTTATTCACTTAGTAACAGGGTCAAATTTCAACTTATATTATGAAAATGAATGAATTTAGACATTTCTTTCAATGGTAAAACTAATAAGTAAGAGATTAGCAGATCGAGATCGTGCTTGTTTAATCCACTCAGAACAAATAGAATAGATTACTTACAGAAAGAATAGTAGTAGTATATCATAACGAAAATGTTTACTGCAGTTTAATTAGGCTCATTGGACAAATTGGACAATGAATAATTAAAAGTAGTATGTTCTATTGTTTTCTAAATACCGAAGGCAACATTTTCATTAACTGATAGTTGGCAATATTGTGGTGGTGGTGTTTAGTTCTCTGAGCTGGATGTTTTGGTTGTGGGGATTTCATTGTTCTTCTGCTGAACAACATCATTATCACAAACGTCAGATCGAGGAGTGAAGTAATCGAATTTCTCCACGTTTGACCTGTAGCTTGTTCTGCTAACCTCGATCTTCATTGATTGCTGTTGACTTTAAACCTGTTGTTGTTTGCAACTTTGTTTTGATTGCATCCCCCTTTCGATCTGTTTCTTGATCGAGGAAAAGCATCTGATGACTATCTTCCAAAAGAACGGCTATTCACGCAACTTCATCAAAAAACATCAACCGAAACCATCATCAGAAGCGAAATCAAACACAGTAACCAATAAACGGATCTTCTTGTCATGCATTAAAGACATATTGGAGCATTCAGCACGACTACTAAAACCATTTGAAATGGTTGTAGCACACAAACCAACAGAATCACTTCAATCAATACTATCTAATGTAAACCAAAAGAATAAAATGACAAAAGAAGAAAAACCAAATATCATCTACAAAATAAACAATTGCTCAGACTGTGAAAAACACTACATAGGACAAAGTGGACAGCCACTTCAGCTTCGTTTACGTGAACACCAATTAGCAGTCAAACGACAACGCTTCACTTATATCAATACACACCGACAATTATGGACACACATTTGATTGGAACAATGTGGAAATACTGGGTAGATTGAGAGAATTGTTAGAAGCTTGGCACTCAGGTCAATCAGCAATCAAGAAACACATCCACTTTGACCCAATTTATCAACCAATCAGGAAAATCATAGGTGACATAGGATCAAGAAACAAATCAAAAGGGGGATACAATCAAAACGTAGGTACAAACAGCGACAGGTTTAAGGTCAACAACAACCAATCAAGATCGAGGTTAACAGAAGAAGCTACAGGTCATGTGTGTGGAGAAATTCGAATGCTTCACTTCTATCTGAAGTTTGTGCTGATGATGTTGTTCAGCAGAAGAACAATGAAAGCTCCACAACCAAAACATCCACAGCTCAGAGAACCAAACACCACCACCACAATCATCCACCTGGGCCACAAATCTTCTCCACCATCTCAAAAGTTGGCATTATGTTTTAAGGTGATTCACTGATATTAGAAAACATTATTCTATGGTACATGAATACAGTTTATTTAGTTACCTGAATATTACTATTCAGTGTAGAAATTGGAACCAACCAGTATATTTTTAGTCTACTCTATTAACTGAGGTTTTGTAATGCAAGTGGAACTTTCTAAAATTTATAACTTGTACACATATGTTACACATATATCAACATAAACTGTGTATTTGAACCAAGGAATGTAATTACTGTGCAATAGTTCGGTACGTCCTGCAATATGGGCCACTAAGAGTAGAGGATATTTGTAGGCTATTAGTATTCAATGATATGTATCTTCGATGGATTGCTCAAATATCCTGAGATCACTGAATAAGCGATGCTGGTGTTAGGAAAAGGATACTAGGTAAGCATGGCAGATCAATAGACGAAATGGTGAAACTTCATCACTTGAGGTGGTTGGAATATGTGTTACGTATGCCTAACCACTGACTGCCTCGATAAGCTATGTTTTGTGGTGTAAGAATAGGTTGGACGAAAGCTAGGGGCGGGCAAACCAAAACATGGCACAAATCCATGAAGTCACTGACAAGTGGACTGAGTCATGTTGGTAGATGTAGGTTACCTGATTGGGGTCCGTGAGATGATAATAATAGATGGTTAGAGACCTTGAATGACACGGCTTAAAATTATTTGTAATGGCTCAGGTGATTCCATTGTTTGTCTTCTCTCATTAGCTCAAAACCTAATCTTATCTCTTTTTTATCACTGGATTATAATTCTTGAATAATTTCTTCGAACTCTGCTCTTTTTCATTATCGCTAATACTTCTACTACCTCTACTACTATGGGATTGAAATTGACAATCCAATCTCCGTACATTAATGTGATATAGCAACTCGAAATGATGTACGTACGTACCAAGTTCTACGTTATAGCTGACTGACTGAGCTCCTCTATCTATATTCATTTTTTCTAACTGACGTTTCATGTTATTGAACTTTTACAAAGAAATTTCCATCTGGATAATTAATTTCCTCATTTATTTTTACATTCTAGATGGCCTTTCGGTAATTTTGGATGTCAGCTGTACTCATTTATTGGAATGTTTTTTGGAATGGCATCAATTTATTTCTCTTGTTTTATTTGTCTCTTCACTATGATTGAAATATTGAATTTAACTAGCGGTAAGTTAACTCATTAGTGTGTATTTGAATTAAACGAATGGTAACCAATATTATTTAGAAAATAATCCTATTCATTTTGTATTATCTGTCTATTTGTCTTCCTTGAAACATGTGATTATCTTTCGGTAGGAATTGAGATTTTTCTGGCTGAGTGTAGATACTTTTAAAGTACTATATGAACAGTCCAGAGTTCGATTCCTGTGAGTAGCAGAAGTCGTGGATTTACTTACTTACTTATGCCTGTCATCCACAGTGGAGCATAGGCCGCCCACCAGTTTTCTCCAACCTACTCTGTCCTAGGCTTCCCTCTCCACTTCTGTCCAATTTTTATTCATTCCTCTCATGTCTTTCTCTGTTTCTCGGCGTAATGTGTTCCTTAGCCTTGTTCCTTGGCCTTCCTCTTTTCCTTTTGCCTTGGGGGTTTCAAGTAAGGGCTTGTTTCGTGACGCAGTTAAGTGCTTTTCGTTGTGTGTGTCCTATCCACCTCCACCGCTTTGGATGTGAATTGATGATAAGTCTCATACCAGGACGACACGGTTGTTCAGTGCTTGCAGGTTTCGAATAGTCGTCTTATGATGATTGATTCAGGATTTCAGTGTAAAATAATCCATATTTCAATTGGTCATTACGTAATATTTTGACGCAATATACAGAGTTGAAGAATTTTATGTTAGAATAAAGATAGATTTGAAGCTTCTATGTACATCTATTGTTCATTGCAGTAAAAGAATTAGTTTCAATCTTGATTTTATTTCATTGAGAGAATTTTCTATTAACAATAAAATTTAATAGATATTTTTTTAGAAATTTAAAACAATTAAGTCCCTTTTATAAATTTTCATAGAACAATGAGAAGATGTAATTGATCTGTTAAAATGTTGTTATGTGTATTTACGCTATACATAATCGAGGTTCGGTAAAATGCCTCTTCCATAGGGTACAAAGAATTCGCATCACAGATACATTTGAAGACGATACAAACTTCTTAACTGAAACATTCATTTCAAACGGCTATCCGCTAAAGTTCATTCTGCTGAGAAGAAAAGGTTTTATATCACTTTACCATAACAAATGGTCTAATCTTAAGACAGCCACCAAAAGCAGCCATAGAGAAAACGTACAACGCTGCTAAACTCATTATCATTGAAAAGACTAAGACCATGATTCCACATAGACCTAAACGTTGCTCTAATGATTACATCACATCTCACTGCATTTATCAATTTACATGTTTGTGTGGACATTCATACATAAGGAGAAGTAGTCGGACAACGTAATCAAGGGTTATGGAACATGTACCTAGCTTAACGTCAGATGACCCGATAAACGTGGGAAATAGAAAACCATGTTCATCTATCACAAAACACAACTGAGACAGGGAACAAGACTGACATCAAGACAGCCTTCAGTGCTGAAGGACGAATTTTGAGGCTGATGGAGGCCTTGGCTATTCGAAAATTAAAACCACCGACCTAATGTTTACAGAAACAATTTGTTATAACCTTGAATTTACCCTGATAATCTTTAAGCCTACCCTACTTGAAATTTTATTTAATTGACTTTTATTAATCTTCCTATAAAAATGCCTTGACAAGTGTATATGTGCGTGACCAAATTGTTCGAAATGTATGTAGCGCAAATATATCACATTCTTCTGATCTATTACGTCTTATCACTGTTCCATCAAAATATATATTTTACTGAGTTAATTTCATTTATAACTATTAGTTTGCTATGTTGAACAATATGCCTAAATAATAGACAACGTGTTGACTTTTTTTACTGTTTGTAATGTAGCAACAGAATATCAATATAATTAAAACTTGATTAGTCCATTTGCGATCACTGAGAGCTGAATTTTTCATCAATCTTCCTGAGTATATGTGTATGCTGTAGTTATCGCCTCAATATAGCCATTATGTCTCACAAATTATTTCAATAGTGTGCTTTTTATGTGTATGAGGGTGGATGTTACTTCCCAGATGCCCACACCGTGGAAAGGTTCTAGTTATCAGACGGGGCACCAGCCTCATAACTTCCGAAGGAACTCGGCTTTCATCGTGAGACGTCATCACCCTTCTAAGTGAAGACCTTCTAACTCTCAGAGTAGAGTTTATGTGGTTTGAATTATTTTTCCTCGTCAACGACTTTCAAACGAGTTAGTTTTTTGTGGGATGGGGTCGCCAACACCAATCCTCCTCCTAGATTATCCAGGCTTAGGACAGGCAGTAACCCCGAAGGGTCTACAGGCGGAGTTAAAAAATTATTTAGAATAGGTGGACTGTGCCTAGCACTGGAATCAAGGTTTAACCCCAAACAGGTGCGAACTTGTACTCTGGATTCCGCCAGCTACTAGATACAGTCTGTTTGATCTTAGCAGACAATGAATGTTAACATTTCATTCAAATTCTTCGACGATCGACAGGAACTCACATAAATGACTTTATCAACTCGCTAAAGTATGCTGAACTAATTCCTGTTTTCTACATTTTCGAAAGAAATTAATTACCTCGACCTTTTATCTACAAGTACATAACATCAAAATTCGAGTGATTGATATAAACTAAGAACTAGTCTTAAATTCAAAAGAAACCCAGATAACATAACAGGTAAATCACAGTTTGGTCATAAATCGTGCAAATAAATGTTAGGAATAAAAGTCAAATTGAACTGATATTTATCATCTTTCATTTTTTTACAGTTCGTGATTTCATATCTAAGCCATATAATCACATTCCTTTTGGAATTTGGATGTTGAGTGGGTTGTGGGCGATTCTACCGCTGTTGGGATATGGCAGGTAAGTAAATTATCTTATTTATGGATAACTTGTATTATTTTTGGCTGCTTGCCACTTTCATGTCCCACGATCTAGTCTAGACGAATATTTAACTATGTGCTCTGAAACAAATCTCCCTTTCCGTTTCAGTATATCGTACTTAGGTGAACTATGTTTCCGCGATGGCGGTAACAAGAAGCCGAATTCGGTTTTTCGAATAACACTAATTCATGCAACTGAGAAGTAAATAAGCAGAGCGAAGTGAAGTGGAAAAGGCGAGTGAACCAAATCAATATGATGCTTAATGACTAAGTATTTATAGGCAAACCAAATAGGCTAGACGTGCAATAAGCGAAATCAGCCAGCAGTGCACATACGCATTCACGTAAGAATAACTAAGATAGAAAGCGAATAGTTGACAAGGTCGTGAAACGTGTGAATAACAACCTGAGAAGAAGTGACTGATCAATTTGTCCAAAGGCTGAGATAACAAGCTCTGAGGACTCAACATATAAGTACACATATGACAGGTTTTATTAAAAGCTCTATTCATCAAGCCAAATGATCTTATGTGCAAATTTATTGAATTTCTAAAACTTACAATCGCTCCATTCAAACCAATGAAACTCATTAAACTATACAGTCTTTAACTAACTTAACACTTCATAAAATAAGACATAGAGGGTTTAGAGGCATAAATTAATAGAAGTGTTAAGTTCGTCACTATGCGTACGCTTGAAGCAATTACGAGTTCACCTTAGTCGATAAACGCGAACGAAACAATAAACCAGCGTCCATGTAGCCCACCTTGAATCCCAAGCGGTAAAACAGAAGTCTTGGTAAGCGTAGAAAATATATTCTACAAACACCCAGCAATCGCAATACAATCAAGCACACAAATCTCGTTTATTTATACATCATAGAAACGTCCTTGGGACAGTTACAAAAATGGCACACTAAAATAGGCAGCAACCAATCACAGCCATGCATTTTCCTGGTGGGAAATGAAATCCCAAGATCAACTGATCAGCTCATGCTGACAAACGTGAAATCCAAAATAAGGCATTTAACAAGCGAGTTTTGGGGAACAAACATCCCCAACAAGAAGCATCTATTATTTACAACTTATTCTAAAAGTGTTAATGAATATATTTGCCAGTCAAGCAAGTCAAGTTATTGATTAACTGAGCTTAAGATCAAATCAATAATTTAAAAGACTAAACAAGTTTAAGTCAGTCAGTTGCAACGTAGAACTTCGTACGTATGTACATAAGTTCATGTTGCCATACCACATTAGCACACAGAGACGCAAATGTCAAATCAAATCCCATAGTGATAAAGATAGTAGAGGTATTAATGGTAATGAAGAAGACTATGGTTTGAAGATATCATTCAAGAAGTATCAATTCAGTGAGATAAGGTTAGAAAGACAAGGGTAGAGGTACTGACGATTCCAGAAGATTAGGATTTGAGAGAGCTCAAACTTCTGGTAGAAGTTTGTGCTGATGATGTTGTCCAAGTGAACTATAAAAGCTCCATAACCGAAACATGCAGCTTAGAGAACGAAGATTGACAATTATCATCCGCGAAAGCTAAAAATGTTCTCCTTCAGCTCTAACATTCATTAGGAAAATTCATTCAGAGAGGGAGAGAGACTGTCATTAAGGTAATAGTTTTTCAAATTGACAAGCTATTATAGTTAACCATATCAAGATGGATTATGGTCATAATTAAAGTGACATTAATTAACAATTTATAAAATTCTGAAGAAACGAAATACCATCACTGACACTAATAATGGTCTTGTGGTGGATGTGGTCTCACCAATTCTGTGGCCATCGGTTTTCGATATACTCCTAAACTTCGTATACTACTAGTCCTGACAATCGTTACGTGATGACGTCCAACGGTATATAAATCAGAAAACGAATACGATGTGCTTAAAACGTTCATTATCACACCGTACAGATCATAAAACTACAGGCACACAATGCGAAAGTGAAAATGGGCATGAGAGTGCCGGAGAGCAAGCCAGTTGGAACGCACTGGTGAATAGGATAAAAAATGTACATCTGTATACATAAGAAAATCAATGAGTCATCGAATTATTCAAGCTAGTAAGCGGCGGGAGTAACTATGACTCTCTTAAGGTAGCCAAATGCCTCGTCATCTAATTGAATGGGTATACTAGGTGACGCGCATAAATGGAGCCTTCTGGGGGTTGTGGTGGCGGCTACCTCTTCGTGGTCCTGCCAGGCAACGTGGCGTTGTTTACAGCGCTGCCGCTAAAAGCCGTTCCAAACGCTTAGGATACTCTGCCTAGCATGGTCCAGAATGATGGTACGTGTTGATGGTCGCAAGGCTGTGGATGCGGTTAGCCACTCTGGGGGGTTATGACTGAATGTCTCTAAGTCTGAATCCCGTCCATCGAGCGTAGGTAAATTCCGATAATGGTTTGATGACTTGTCCTCTGTCATTCCATAGTATCGAATACCTTGAAAGGGATGTAGCTTTCCAGTGTGAGTGAAGGCGGCCCTAGAAGTTCTGTTTGGGGAAGCAACCGTAGAGATCCTGGACTATTGACGCCGACCCTATGTGGTTGTCCCGAACACTGTGCATCTCGGTGTATTGTGTAAACTGGCGTCGAGGTCCCCTGAACAAGGGTCTCCAATTGGGTTATGTGATACGGAACTAAAGGGTGCTGGACGCCAATGATGTCTGCCCACTTATGTAATGGGATTAACCCTGCTTGGCTAAGTGCTTGCGCTTGGTTGAGTTCATGACATCTTCCTCATGGGAGTGTGTACGTTCCGGCTGACCTTGTGGGACAAACTCAATCTTTAGCTTCATGTGGGGTCTGAGGGCTCCGGTCGATTGTAACAGCGCAAGACACTTAAAGGCCAGATGGTTGGAACGGCTACTGGTTAGTGCACTGCTGAATGGCTCGGTAATCCGTTCAGGGCGCCAGGTCCGGCTAGGAAAGCCCTCCTTGCCGCTCATGCCTATTGGGGATCTTGGGTAGTGGATTGGTGGAGGGATCTTGTTGATTCATAAGTGCTCTAACAGGTGTCACTGTTCGTGTGCGTGCTTTTTGGACGTCCGACCTGCTTGCAGACCAAACTGGACAACATGTATGTTCCCGATTGGGGCAGGGGTGATCACTAAACGGCTAAAGTGAAAATCCTTGTGTTACCTAAAAAGCAGCGATGTGCATGTGCAACGGGCTTGTCGGTTAACCAAGATATAGTATGCAATTTTGAGTTATAACCTGCTCATGCAAACGCGACAATACTAAAATCAAATGGCACAGGCAAGTAATTGCTATATGAATAACTCTATCTGTTAAATAAATTAATCAAAATGGCTTATCCAAATTAGATTTATACAAAATTAAATGCATATGAGTTGCTATAACATGCTTGTGATATTCCGGCAATAAAGATATCGAACCTTAGATTTTTCCCAACTTCAAGTCGTACGTTCATTTAAATAATAAAAGTATATGATTATTTATTTCCAATCAGAAAAAACATCAGTCATTTTCAGTTTATCTGAAATTTTCCATTGAAATCCTGAATCAGTCATTCATTGGAAAACAACAATCTTTACAACACTATAATGAATATCATACATTGTACTTACCGATGACCAGCTTCGTGAGGAAATTCTTGGAGTTTTAGTGAGAAGACGTGACCAGTGGAGTTCAACGTCGTCAGATATAGGCAGTAACTACCGAATAACACTGTGTATTGATTGAAATTAGACGGTAACACTATGAGATGCCGGCTCAGTGGTTCAAATGTTAAGCATTTGCACACACGACCTAAGGTCCTAGGTTCGGCTGTCAGCTGCACAAGTCAGGGACTTCATGGCCATCCTGCGCTTCCAAGCTTCTAATGGTGGTCTATCAATGATCGATTCGTGATTTCGATGTAAAACAACGATCCCTATTACACTACAACAAAAATTATTTGAAATTATCATACTGAAACTTAATAATGATCCTTATCAAATCATAACCTAAACTTTTTTTCCCAATTATTTAGATATGCATTAGAACCGCATAAAACATCATGTTTACTTGATTGGAATAATATGGATGAAAATATGAAATTGTACATGTTTTCATTATTTACATTTGGTTATATACTTCCATTCGGTATCGGTATTTGGTCACAATATCAACTAGTTCAATATGGAGTGATAGATGTTAATCAAAATGTTAAAAACATAGAGAAAATTGAAATTCTTACAAAAGTAAGTGTTTATGTTTACTGATTGTGTATATGATTTTTTTTCAAGAGATATGTGTGGCTTTATGGATTAGCTGTGTCCAGATGTTTTGTTGATGTTGTTGGTTGTAGTTAAGACTAGGACAACACTGTGGAGGCTTCTTCGACACTACGGTGTGCTTGAGAAGATAGTCAACGTCATACGGAATTCTTATGATGGATTCAACTGCAAAATCGTTCACGGAGGACAGCCGACATACTCGCTCCAGGTGAAGACCGGTGTAAGGCAAGGTTGCTTACTCTCACCCTTTCTCTTTCTCCTGGTGATTGACTAGATTAGGAAGACATTATTATCTGGAGGGAAGCACGGTATCCAGCGGACAGATAGGATTCAGCCTTTGCAAATGGTCTGGCTCTTCTATCTCACAAGCAACAACAAATGCAAGAGAAGACGACCAGTGTAGCAGCAGCAGGTCTCAACATACACAAAGGGCAGAGCAAAATTTTCTGACACAACACAACATGCACCAAACAAATCACACTAGACGGAGAAGCCTTGGAGGACGTTAACACCTTTACATATCTTGGGAGCATGAATAAAAAGGGTCTGATGCAGATGTGAGGGCGCGGATCAGCAAAGCAAGAGCTGCATATCTACGACTGAAAAACATCTAGAACTCGAGACAACTGTCAACAAACACCAAAGTCGGAATTTTCAATAAAAATGTCAAGACAGTTCTACTGTATGGGGCGGAAACTGGGAAAACTATAAAAGCCATCATCCGAAAGACACAAGTGTTCAGTAACAGTTGTCTACGCGAAATACTTCAGACCCGTTGGTCAAGCACCATCAGCAACAATCTACTGTGGGATAGAACAAGCCAGATTCCAGCGGAGCAGGAAATCAGGAATAAGCGACGGAAGTGGCTAGAACACACATTTTCGGAAATCATCGAACCGCCTCACGAGACAAGCCCTCACTTGAGACATTCAAGGTCAAAGGAAAAGAGAAAGGTCAAGGAACACATTACGCCGAGAAATAAAGAAACATATGAGAGCAATGAACAAAAACTGGAAAGAACTGTAAATGGAATCCCAGGACAGAGTAGGTTGGAGAACATTGGTTGGCAGCTCATGCTTCATTGGGATGACATGCGTAAGTAGGTGAGTAAGTACGATCAAACGATCACAGAAGAATTGTACTAATATTTATTTCGCTAACTACACCTAATATATGGTCAGAATTCTGCGTCGGTTCTGTTGATAATTTGTAAAATCTATTAGTGATTAGAAAAGAGATATAGAAAATTTGTTTTATTTTATTCAAAACTTTTCATTTTATTCAATTCAAAACGATTTGTATTATCACATTGTTGATGTATTAACTGAAAACTGTACTATCTAGTTTATTTTTTCAAGACATGGTCTGTTTATTGATTCCCGGTTCAGACCCAGGTCCACCTGGGTATCAGGTACCTGTGTGGTTGCACTAAAGGATTAAGCCAAACTCTTCATGTTCAAATGCTAACACGTACACAGTCGCCTTGGTTCTCCTGGAAACCAGTGTAAAGTTGTCCTTGACAATTGAGGGTAATTTATGTAATTAAGTTTATTGAGATAACTAGTTTAATAAGGAAGCTTTCATTGTCTTATCGAAGGAAAGAATATTGTCAATGTTGTCGTTGACTTGATATATTTCACGAGGTAGAAAATAAGATCGCATTTTAGCTCCTTTTTCAAGGGCACATAGACCGGACATCTGATTCTTGAAATGGTTATGTTAGAACTATTGAAGATTTCAACACCATGTGATTTTGAGCAGTCAGTCAGTCAGTTAGTTAAAACGTAGAACTTTGTTCGTGAGTATATCAGTTCATGTTGCCATACCAAATTAGCACAGAGATGCAAATGTCAATTCAAATCCCATTAGTGTTAGAGATAGTAGAAGTACTACTGGTAAAAAAGAAGATTTGGCTTCCAAAATATTATTGAAGAAGTATAATTCATTGGGATAAGGTTAGAAAGACAAAGGTAAAGGTGCTGACAAATCCAGAAGATTAGGATTTGAGAGAGCTCAACGAATGGATTCACTTGCGCCATCGCAACCGATTTTGAGCCATGTCGTTCAAGGTCTTTAACCATCGATTATTATCATCTCGCTGACCCCAACCAATTAGTCGACAATTATCGACATGGCTAAGTCCACTTGTCAATGATTTCATGGATTTCTTTCATGTTTTGGTTTGGCCGCCACTAGCTTTCTACAAACCTATCCTTACACTACAAAACAAAGCTCGTCGAGGCAGTCGGTGGTTAGGCATACGCAGCACATGTCTCAACCACCTCAACTGATGAAGTTTCATTACTTCATCTATTGATCTGCCATCCTTACTTAGTACTCGCTTCCTAATTGCAGCATTGCTTACTCGGGTGTCCCAAGATACGGGAGCAATACTTCGAAGACACCTATGATTGAATACTAGTAACCTACGAATATCTACTACTCTTACCGGCCATGTTTCACAACTATATAGGAGAACGGAGTGAACTGCTGCACAGTACACTCGACTTTTAATTAGCAAATGGATATCTCTGTGATTTTGAGCGATGAGCAATATACTAATAAATTTCTTAAGAACAACCATAACAGGGTTTAAATAGTTAGTATAGTAATCATTAAAATTATCATATAAGACGATGGTATGAATTTGCTGAAAATTAAAAATGTAACTAGTTTTAGATTGAAACAATTTCAACTCATACTCAGTGTAACTTGTTAATTAACTATCAATTTTGATTGAAAAATTCAATCGAAAATAAACAGGATTATTGAAATTCGATACAAAATGATAATAGAAAGAATATATTCACACAATTTATCGAATGATCACACAAAAAATGTTAATTTAATGGGTCAAACGGTTACTTACATTGTACAAAATAAAACAACGTCAATTAATGTAAAAACGAGTTCTGTTAAAACATCATTTACAATTGATACAAACAATCGTTTCTAGTTATTAGTTTAATTTTATTGAAACCATGAATCGATCAATGTTAGACCAACATTAGAAACCTAGAAGCACTGAAGGACGGCCGTTTCGTCCTGGTATGGGACTACTCTTCAGCAGTGCGCATCCACGACTCCTGCACCCCGCATGATTTGAACCCAGGACCTTCAGTATTGTGTGCGAACGCCTAATCATCGGACCACTGAGCCGGTATCTAACGGTGTTATTGTCTAACTTGATCAATTTACGGAGTTGCGCAATGTCTGTCAGTCAGTTAGTCAGCCACAACGTAGAATTTCGTACGTACGTACATCAGTTTAAGTTGTCATACCGAAATGGCACGGTGATGTAATTTTCAATTCAGATCCCATAGTAGAAGTATTAGCAGTAATCAAAAAGATTAGTGTTCGAAGATATTATTCAGGAAGTAGAATCTAGTGAAATCAACTCTCAAAGATATAAGTCCAGACCTAAAATTCTCGATGAGTATCTCTGAGACTAGTAAGGTGAGTAGCATGGCTTCAAGTTCCATACTAATCACCGTTTCTCTGAAAGCTGATGGTAATTATTGTTTATGAGTGTGGTGGTGGCGTTTGGTTCTCTGAGCTAGATGTTTTGGTTGTGGAGCTTTCATTGTTCTTCTGCTGAGCAACATCATCAGCACAAACTTCAGACAGAAGTGAAGCATTCGAATTTCTCCACGTTTGACCTGTAGCTTGTTCTGCTAACCTCGATCTGAGCTGGGTGTTTTGGTTGTGGAGGTTAGCAGAACAAGCTACAGGTCATGTGTGTGGAGAAATTCGAATGCTTCACTCCTATCTGAAGTTTTTGCTGATGATGTTGCTCAGCAGAAGAACAATGAAAGCTCCACAACCAAAACATCTAGCTCAGAGAACTAAACACCACCACCACAATCGTCCACCTGAGCTACGAATCTTCTCCACTATTGTTTATGAGTATCAACTAGCAAGAAACCTAAGTTCAAGGCTTACTTCTAACTACCCGCAATTGTCTACTAGTGAAATTCTGTATGTAAACGTATTTTCAAAATTGAACTGATTTGATAGTCTTTAGTGAAAATCTCATAGGGGTTGAGCTAGTAGAAGTATTAGCGATGATGTTGAAGGTAAGGGTTCGAAGTAATCATTTATAAGTGTAGTTCAGTGAAATAAATTTAGAAAGAGAAAGATAGGGGTGATGAGGAATTCGGAAGATTAGAATTTGAGAGACAACTGTGCAAACGATTTTTATCCGTGTCATTCAAAATCTCTAATGATCGGTTACCATTGATTCTCTAAACCAAACTAGGTAGTCTACACTTACCGACATGACTCAGTCCAGTTGTCAGTAACTTCGGGGATTTGTGCCATGTTTCTGTTTGGCCGCCTCTGGCTTTCTACCAGCCTACTCCTAGATCAGGCATTATCACTCGTCCAGACAGTCAGCGGTTAGACATGCAAAACACAAACCCCAACCTTCACTCTTTCACCAATCGATCTGCCATCCTTACGTCGTATGTTTTTCTTAACAACAGCGTAAATGATGAGAATACTTAAGTAAATGGTTGAGAAATAATTCAAAATCCCAAACATAGATGTGTATTATTTTATGAAAATGAAAGCTGTATACAATCTACTTATTTTCTATGACAATAAATTTGAGTGTACCATTGTAGTGTGCCGATTTACTGTGTGTTCTTAAGCTCGATAATCAGCTCGTCCAGACAATCGTTACTGACTAGCGTCTGACGGTTTATAAATCAGAAGGTGAACACAAAGTGATGAATACGTTTATTTGGAACACACCACAAAGCGGTAAAGCGGTGAAGCAGTAAATAAAACGAACCAAGCGACGTGAATTAGAGAAGGTTGTTGAGCCAACTCCCTAGATTACAATGCGAACGAATGGGCGAAGGAAACGATGTGGAGAATGGCTAATGAGCCAACTCAAAGAGAGAGCGTGACTAAGTATATATAGTCAGACAAATATAAGACAAACATGCGACGAGCGAAAT